AAGGAAAACCAGAATGAAGTAAAAAAACATTGGTGAAAAAAAAAAGTTGCAAATAAAAGTTCAAGTTCACAGCGATTCGAACGAACCATGGACCTTCAGACTGAAAGTCGACAGCGCTAACCAGTAAACCATTTGGGTGTATGAATTTACTGCCTACAACAGATTGACAACGAGAGAGCTTCAGCCGAATTCGTGTCAAAATCATAAAAAGAGTATTCTTGCGTTGGAGCACAGTATATTTAGTGCGATGTGCTGAATCCGAGTATATCGGTAATGTTTGGAGATATGACGTATTATGGTGGGCGTGGTTTGTGCTAGCGTGCAGTATATTTAGTAAAATCGCGCCTGGTTTGACACCGGCCCACCGGGCATTTGCCCGGTTGCCCGCCGGTCCAGTCCGGGCTGATACCTATGCCATGTCATGCTATACTGCAAGTTTTCTTATGAAAATCACCAAGAAAATTGCTTTCCACATATTATATTTAAAAAAATATATAAAACAATATTCATGTTATTATAAATTTCATGTTACTTTTCTTCCATCACTGGAAAAACTGTACTGGATATTCTAGTGAATAAAGGATAGAATTTATCATCATCCAAATCATTCCAGAGATGGCGAAGATTGTTCTCAATAGAGCTCATACTGTTTTCTTGAACACTCTTTACCTTCATGGTGAATAAGAATAGTGCATTTTCTACAACAGGGTTGTGTTCATCACACAAACTGTGGAAAGCCTGGGCAGATCTTCCAGGTACTCTTTCCAAATTTTTGACAATCATGACTCCAGAAGTTTCCAATTGTTCTTTGTTATAAGCTATCACTCTTCCATAGTCAGCTAGAATATCTTTTTTTCCCAGGCTTATTCCATCAATGTTAACTGGTTTGGAGGAACAATTAGTTATTTGGCAAACAGCATACTTTGAAATTTCTTCAACAATACTTTCTACAGTTTTATATCCATCATCTTGATACAGAAGAATCACAGACTTTGGTTTATGCCATCTTTTGATTTCGCTTACTGCCACATCAATGTTCAACCAAAAATCTTCCATTTGTGATGGGAATTGATGTGACAATTTGTGGATGGTTATATCTGAATCTACTGAAGGTGCCTCATCAACCATATAGAGTGAAACCATCAGGCATATAAGAATTGGCAAAATAATAATTGCTGTCCCCGATTTGAAATCAAATCCAAGAAATGATTTATTATTCCTAGCTCCATTTCTACCTGGAGTGAGATCATTGAGGCGATCAACTTTTGAATGAGGATGAGAATTATTTTCGTAATTCACATCTATTGAATTGCTTTCATGGATCTCATCTTCTGAGTAGCTATGATCACTACTATAATCATCATTTAATATAGGACTTTGTATTGATTCCTCTTGTTGCCCTATAGCTGGGCGTTTTTTGATATTTACGAATTTTGGGGTACTGGATGCTTTTGGTTCACTTGTCTACAAGAAGAAATTCATTAATATAAACTACTGGAAATACTTTGGCAAAACTGAACCATATTCAAATCATTCGTGTTACGGTGGGTGGCCAATGGGCAGAAATCGTCCACAACATTACAAGATAGAATTAATTGTATATTAAATTATATAGACAAAATGACGAGATTAAAAAACAAAAAACCTTCATCCTTCATTAGATGATCAATCATCATTGGCTTCATTTTTCATGTCATTGACAATAAACTCAATTCTGTGGTCGTGACTGTGACGTGACAGCCGACAGACTGACAAGTGAATCACCACCTCACCACAAAATCACAGGACCTACAGCAGGAGTCATGGAACCATATATGTAATATCAATAAACGCTTGAACCAAAAGTTTTTGTTGACATAGCATGTGTATCATATTAGCTACAACTATTATTGAAACTACATAAAATCATGTTAAATATGCACATTTGAACTGCTCAACATTGATAACGTCGTGGTCCAAAATATAGCCTGAATTCAAAGTAGAATCCTACTCACCGAGTTTCCTTTCCAATTTGAAATCGGTTTTCACCTATGATTAGCCAGCCTAATCTCTTAACAGTTTGTTGTGCCAATATGAAACTTCTGTAATTCCAGATAACATTGCTACAGGGTGATAACTGAATGGGTGTAAATATGCATCGTGGTCGTCACCTTATCTAGAGTACCTTATCGTTTGAACAGATAATTTTTTTATTTTTTTTCTCACATGTATCCTCTTAATCGATGCTTTCTCTCGAAATATTTTCGGAATTTTCGAATTCAGAGCTTTGATAACCGTGTTATGGATATTCATTCAAAATGACGACGATTTATTGAATGAAATTGGAAGTTGGAATTTCTTTTTCGAAGAATCAACTTGTATGTTTAGTCGACGGATATACTTAGTGACTTTGGTTTCGTGATTGGTGTCCCTGACATGACATTGCTGTCACGTCACATTCATAGACGTTGAAAGAGATCTCACAAAATTTCAATTTCATACTTGATCTTGATACATATTATTCAATTCTGTTTTGGAAGGAAGGAAAAAAGTGCTGCGTTTAGGCTGTATCAATCAGTTGGATGGCAAATTTGAATTTTTCAGCTTTCCATCAAATGCAAATGAACTTAGAACATGGAAAGTGAAGTGACCGAATGGGGAAAATAGGTCAATACATCAGCAAAATATTCGAGGTACAACCAATACGAAATCACATATGCCCATAATTATCCATTCCACAAGTTTCTGGATGCATTTTAGTAGAAACAGTTTTGATTAAAACGGAGCATTAACCCTACCATTTAAAAAATTATACCTACATTGAGGAAAAATGAAGTGTTCGTGAAAAACTGCAAAAATGATTCCCAACATGACATATGAGCACATTAGTTAGAATACCTATATAACATTTTTCACCATCTCTCGACTAAGGCTTATAGTCTGAAATCAAGATTAATTTATTGATAGGTACCGCCTAAAAACAGTCCCATTTGGTAAAACGTATTAAATTTTCAGAAAAATTTGCTCACCCGAAAATTATCAACATTATTTGGATATAATATGTAGAGTTGAATGAGAAATCACATGTGGAAATTACGTATGAGACGCCAATGTCCTCAATATAACCTAAAAAACAACAAATGTCAGAAATCTAGTGTTTATCTCCGTAATGAATAAAGATGGATAACTGTTTCACAAATTAGAGTGAGAGGAGACGAGGATCTGTCCGCACCCTGTTGAGATGACAAATACTTCAATTTACGTCTTTAGGTAGAGCTGATAAATATACTTCTTCATGGCGAGTTCGCATGCCAGCTTATGCCTACAGCAGAAAGCTTGAATAAAACGGGCGCACTGTTCACATAAGAAAGTTGGAAAAGTGACTGCCACATATTTGGTTAAATTTCAGATGTACGTCCTCCAGAAACCACATTTATCACATTTTTAGGAGTGTTTTTCCAGTACTGTTTTCCACACTGCATAATATGATGATATAGCACCAATATGTATTCATTTTGTCAATATTTGTGTGGTCCTGTCAAACGATCTGGGCTTTTTTCCGCAAAAGTCGGACTGAAACCGACTTTCTAGCTTATGACCTCGATAAGCGCTTTCTGACGAATCGGCCAATGAGATGAGGATACGCTGTTAGTCAAAAGGCGAAAAGCCAGCATGTGAACGCGCCATCACTCATTTCCTACGATATTTCCTTCTCCTAATAATTGGTCGTGAAGTTCCACTTCGAGAGTAAAAAACGTGAGTTTGCCCAAATATTTCCATAACTTGAGGTTTTCTATTCGATCAAATATTCTACATATTTTTTTCCGAATATATTTTCCTAGGGCTATTCGCTCCAGCTGACGGTAGGGCTAGGTTAGGTTAGGTTCGATGTGAGTGGGGCGAATACCTCCCCTCCACTGCGACCCCAGATGGGTCTATTGTGGCTCACCCATAGAGATTACAGTTCACCGTACAATCCACATCTTTTTACAAAGTTCATGGTTGAATTGGGTGAGATTTGTCTGAAATCGATAGGTTCTAAATTGGTAAAGCCAAATGTGCTTCATTCTAGGATCTGCCTGGTTATTTTTTCCGATGGTTCAGGCAGGAACGCCTTCAAATGGGTTAATCCTGGTAATTCAGACCAGTACGTGAGTGTTTTTCCCTCCGCCCAGCCCGAGATAGTTGTTTTCGCCGCACTTGCGGTGACCCCAAAATATGGTTCTGCTGGTCCTATGAACACAGATTCGGTTCCCTGTTTGGCGAGGATGTCGGCTTTCTCGTTACCCTCCACACCCTGGTGTCCAGGCACCCAGAGCAAAGTGACTCTGTTCAGCTGACGGTAACAACTTGAACACTTCTAGGCGGTTTGTTTGCGTATTAGTAATAATAGTTTTGAAATTGAAAGAACCCATGTCGACTGATTAAAGTTCAGTGCTAGTTCAGATTGAATATTATCACTACTGATTATTACCGATATTGGTTTCACTGATGTTTTCGTTCAGGATCAAGCTCTATTTCATTACCTGTCAGAATGAAGCCAACACCCCTTTACAGTTCTACCCGGAGACAACGATGTGTCACTGAAAATATTTGTTTGGTTCTAACCGGTTGGTATGCCTGCTATCACTGTCATCTTTCAAAGTTGAAATTTACTCTTTCTTTTCGTTCAGAATTTTATATCAGTCAACATGGGTGAGTGTGAATTACGCGTTATTTTCTCATTTTTGTGGCATTATCTCGAGTTATTGAAACGAATTGTGTGTAGTGTTCAATCAGTAGGTTTATTATAGTGATTAACTGAAACCAGATAATTTTTTTTTTAAATGAACATCAGTTTTCAATCTGAAAGATGATAACTTCCGGGAAATTGTGTTGCCTGAAATTTCATATCTTGGATCATCCTCTTGAATAATTATGTCGGCGGATTCAAACCTACTTAATAATGATCTCAGATCTATGCTGTTCTTGAATTTCCAAGTATGTTTTATGTTAACTAATTGAATTGCTTTCAACATTAAGGTAAACCCCGTGGATTGAAAACCGCCAGAAAACATGTGAACCATCGTAGGGACCAAAGGTGGGCTGACAAGGACTACAAAAAAGCTCATTTAGGTACTCGCTGGAAGGCTAACCCATTTGGAGGAGCTTCACATGCCAAAGGAATTGTACTTGAAAAAGTGTAAGTTTCTTTTTCTCTAACTGTAAAACTAGAAGGCAGATGCATGCAATGTTAATTTGAATTACATTTTCATTAAAATATCAAGAATGTTCAAAAGTCAATTTTAAGAATGCATTCATGCTTTATTACATTATAGTTCTAGTGAAAATGACTGATTTGCAAGATTAGATCATTGGTGACCATTTCCTCCACAAAACCATCAGTGATTCTCCTTAGATATAGGTTATTGGTCAAGTTGGATTATTACTGAATATACTGGTAATTGAGTTTCAGTAAACTACTATTAGGTGCTATTACTGGCGAATAACAGAATGAATATCTAGCAATGAATGGTAGGGGTATGTCAGTGGCAAGGTTTTAACTCAAATTAGGGTACTAGTTTAGTTGGAAAATATGAATGATCTCATTCTACCTGTTACTGCATTTTTTTAGATTCTTCATCTAAAGAATCTGATAATGATGATGGCAGTAGCTCTAGTACTTCTAGAATACTACATGAATAATGTATCAAACTGATTAATTAAAAACTTCTAGTAGCAGTGACAATGAAATACATCAATTCCTAGTATGTATTGCAGAGATTGATATGTATACCATCAATTTGAGAGGTCAGACTATTTCTCGCCCAAGGATATTGTGTCTCACATAATTTTACAAATTGACTGTATATTTCATATCTATTCATTTTACCACGTAAGAGAGTATATCTTCAGGAAAAGAAGTATATTATTATCAAATTATATAGTAACATCATATGAGTTTTTGTTCATTAGTTGGTTTTAGGTTTGAAATTGCAAAATTGTTTATATTTGTAAAAATCACTAAAAAAAACTTGAACAACAAACAGCACAAAGAAAGTAATCATTATTATCACACATTTTGGTTTTTCATGGAGGAGATGGAATATTACTAGCACCACATGACCATTTGGTGTCAGTAGCAAACAGTGAATTTGTAGCCTTGCACAGGGTAATAGGCACTGGCAACAAAAGTGCTGCCAGCAGATAATAGTAATTTTGAAATAGTCCTAGAATACTGGACATAATCACATGACCTTAAATAATTAGTTCAATATGGTCATAACTTTTATGAAGTGAAAATACAATTATAATGTAGTGAAAAACATAATTATAATGTATGTTGCATGAATCCACCTTGTGAAGATTCATGGTCTGTTTATAAAAATTATCCAGTATTTAATTGATTGGTATTCTACACTGTCATTCATAAGTTGACATCATAATAATATGGGAAAAACTCAATAATAATTTATTTTTAAATTCAACTTGGGCATTAACTTTTGCTTCAAAATATATGAAAAATGGCCTACTCTGTCATGAGTCACATGACTTTTGCTACATGTCAAAAGTAATTTTTTTTTTCAAATTGATGAAAATAGGCTTATTTAAAATTTCAAAAAAGTTTACTGAGAAAAGTTGTCCCTATTCCAATTTGTGTCTTGAATTTGAACATTTCATTTCAACTTTTAGTTCTTGATATTTTTATTTCTTTTAATTATTATAACTTCACCAAAACTTACCTAAATTTTTGTTAGATAAGTATGTAGAGTAGTTTGCTGATAGTTTGATAGATGACTTTGGCATCATTTGAGTACTGAATAAATTTCACTCCTGAATCATAGACAATACATCAGTTTTGCATCAAACATAATAGAAATTTGAAGTAGGGAGATAATACATGACTGTTAGTTAGTAGCATAATGCAGCTACTAGAATGAAATAGTTTTTTTGGTGTTGATGTTCTTCAATATTACAGACATTCTCTAGAAATTGAGACGAATTTGTGTAAAATTGGGATAGAAACAACTCAGTGACCCTTGTTAATATTCATTCTTTTTTGTTCATTCTTTGTACTATCTTTATTTTATATTCTTTTATTTTTTTGTGTACCTACATATTATATATTGACAAGTTCTATGTGTATTTTTAGGCTTTGATTTCAAAAAACAAATAAAGATTATCTGTCTATCACAAATAAGCCTATTTTCAGGGATTAATTTGAAAAAAAATTGTACATGTAGTTGAAGTCACATGACCCCAATGGGGTATTCCATTTTTCATTTTTTTCGAAGCCAAACTTGAGGACCAAGTTTAATTTCAAAATAAATTATTCATGAATCACTGTATGAATGCAATTTAGTGAGAGGGATGCTTGAACTCCTCAGATGAGTTGAAATTTAAAATAAATTTTAAATATAAGCTATTTTTATTTCTATGAACAGGCCATCACTTTTTATCAACTATTTTGAGGAATATTCTTGGAGAAATATTATGCATTTTGAGACCACTTGAGCTTAATCTAATATTGGCTTCTAGTGTTTTATTTTATTAAATGCTAAATTGAAGGGCTCTGAACCATTGGATAGATATTATCAATTGTCTATACGCTCTGATATGTGCCCAACAACAATTTCAATTAGATCAATCCATTGCGCAGGATTTCCTAGTGAATGGTTGATTTGAAGTCCAATCACAGGAAAATTCTGTGCGTTGTGTTGGTTCTTCTCATCAGTCTAGTAGAATTCTATGTAAATATGGTTATTGTGTGTGCAAATGTGTTAGTGATATCTATTTTTAGAGGAGTTGAAGCCAAGCAGCCAAACTCTGCTATTCGCAAGTGTGTGAGGGTACAGCTGATCAAGAATGGTAAAAAGATTACTGCTTTTGTGCCCAGAGATGGTTGTCTAAATCACATTGAAGAAAATGATGAAGTTCTAGTAGCAGGATTTGGTCGTAAAGGTCATGCTGTTGGTGATATTCCTGGAGTAAGATTCAAAGTGAGTTTGAAATATCTTTTGAAGTATGTTTATAATTATTTGAAAATCATGGTCTGTTTTGACTATCTATGATCTGATTTGAATTACAAACTAAGAATTATTATGATTTGAATACAGGGGATATTATCTATTGAGTCAAAAATCAAGTGGAAAATAATATTTCCTAAGATTATATTTTCTCATTGATATAAATTATATCATCCAAAATGTAAACTGTATGTGATTATGGTTTCATAAAAATGTCATTTATCAAATCTTAATTTGTTTGGTTGATAATTGAGTCAATTTACAGTACTGGTGCACACCTAGTATGAGGAAAAAGGAATTGAATTGAATTTATTTAGTTCAGAAATATTACAATATTATGAAACATGTCAAAGTAAAAATAGGACAATGGTCAAATTAAAAAAGGACATTAGCCAAAGTAAAAATATGACAATAGTCAAAGTAAAATAGGACAATAGTCCAAGTATAAGTAAGTATGTAAAAATAAAAAAATGAAATGAAAATATAAAATATCATATTGTACATGGGTTTACCTAGTTTTTGTTAAGATGTCTCTGTTTTTGAATAACTTGCAATATTCGTCAAATGAGTATATGCAGTTCTCTGCCAGAATGATTTTCAGTCTGATCGAAATTTTGGAAAATGATAGATCATGAAATTCGGTTGGTAATGCATTGTACCATTCAACACCTCTGTTTGAATGCCTATGTAATCTAGTGTATGGTTGCAATAGCATAGATCTGTTTTTTGTGTCATGTCTGTGGAAATCGGATTGTGATTGATAGTTGCTCATGTTTTTTTTTACATGCAATAGGAATAACCAAGATGTATTCAAATTACTCAGAAACTGCAAGACTGCTAATATACAACATGTCTCATTTCAAATGGCCCCTCCTCTATATCAGCTGTTCAGTAATAAACTTCATTTTGGACATTGCCATGTGTTTTTATTGTACTTAATAAAAACTGATCAATATTTTATGAAATCATATTACGATTTTTTCTTGCAAGAAATAGTTATTTATGCAACAAGTGCAAAAAGTGAATGTTTATTGCATTCGAAATTGTCCGACGAGGCCGTTAGGCCGAGTTGGACAACGTCGAGTGCAATAAACAATTTTTGCATGCGTTGCATACAACATTTTTTCTACGTTCATGCAAAAAGCAAAAAATGATTTATTGAGGTGCGGCACTAGGTACAATTCTGTTAATTGCCAGAATTAATTTTTGACTGACGTTTCTATAACCACAGTTGCATTATAGAAAATGTTTGTCATGATGATAGCACGTTGAAGTAGAATGACAGATGAGTGCAATAAAAACTTTATTGCACTAAGTGCAATAAAGAACTTCTTTTTCCACTAAATATAGTTCAATAAAGTTCTGTTTTTTGCATGAATGTAGAAAAATAATATTGTTCTTCATGGTTTCAAACACCTACAGGGTGTCCGGAAATTATGCGCAAAGAATCAAGGGGGTGATTCTACATGATGAAATAAGAAATTCTTTTTATATGTACGTGGGTCCGGAAATGCATAGTTTCCAACATACAGTGTGTTAAAACTTTTAAACAAGATCGGTTTTTAATGAATATCTCAAATATTCTTCAACCCATTTCCTTGAAATTTGGTAATGTTATTCTTTGTCATGAGGGGCTGATATTGTCATAATCCAATTGGAATTATAAAATCCAGTGGCGTCCCGCGGGGCAACCAACCAAATATTATTGTCAATAAAATGTGCGCCACTGATGTTTTTGAATTTTGTATCTCCATAACCTATTGACCAACTAAAAATACAGCATTTTGGTCTCTTGAATTATCTCGATGATTCGCTTCATTTCCATGGAAAATAATATTTAAAAATTTATTGCATAAATTTGTGCCAAAAAATTCCTTCAAAAACTGAGGTGAAAATAAATGCGGCATCAATGTCCATAGATGGAGAATAAGTATGAAGATTCATTTTCTTCAGATATTCCTTGATACATTTTTGACACTCTCTACACTCTGTATATTGAGAACTATGTATTCTCAGGTCTAGGAAGGCATAGTTTTCGATAATACAAAGTGTGTCAAACATGTATTATAAAAAATTTGAAGAAAATGAATCTTAATTCTGATTCTACGTCTATGGGCATGGATAACACATTTAATTTCACCCCTGTTTGTGAAGCAATGTTTTGCACAAATTTATACAATGAATTGGTATTTATTTTTTTCCACGGAAACGCAGCAAAATAGCAAAACAATTCAAGAGACTAAAATGTTGTATTTTCAGTTGATCATTAGGATATGGAGATAGAGAATTTTAAAAAATCAGGGGCGCACATTTTATTGACAAAAATATTCGCTAGGGTGCCCCCGGGACGCCACTGGATTTCAGAATTCTAATTTTAAAATGGCTAAATCAGCCCCTCATGACAAAGAATATCATAACCAAATTTCAAGAGAATTGGCGAAAGAATATTCGAGAAATTCATAAAAAAACGATTTTTTTTTTAAAGTTTAACACACTATATCTTGAAAACAATGCATTTCCGGACTCAAGTATATATGAAATAAATTTCATGTTTTCTCATGTAGAATCACTCCCTTGAATTTTTGCGCATAATTTCCGGACACCCGTATATGTGAATTTTCATATAATTCATATGAAGGTTTTCAGTCACATCAAAACAAAAGAAGTGTCTTGTTTTTTTCTTTCAAACCATAATTGTCTACCTACCAGAGCTATTGAACGTTCCAAAATTTGCAATTGATTTAATTCAAATTCCAAAGCATGAGGAACATTACCATGAAGATATCTTTGCCGTTCCAAAATTTGCAAATAATTTAATTCAAATTCCAAAGCATGAGGAACATTACCATGAAGATATCTTTGGCCGCAATATAAAAAAATCGACCTCGTTTTAGTTCAATGCGAAAGTACGACACTGTCCATAATTATGTTTGTCTCTGAAAAACTGATCATATTGATGATTTTTCATACCAGTCCAAATTTGGTTAGAATCACACAACTGATATATAATGGGGGGGGAGGCATTTAAAGTGAGACATGCTGTATGTTTGGGTTAGTTCAGTTTATTTTTTTAAGTAATTAAGGTACTTGAATTAATTATGTGCAGGTATCTGGTTGAACTATTGTGATACTTGGAAGTTGAAATGTGATTATACCCACAATTTTGAAATGAGTTAATTTGTATTTCGATAATATTATTAATGAGCAGCCACAATCACCTCTGTACAAGATGCATCAACCTTCCAATCACCCTATATATATGTATGCCATGAGGTTTATTAATTTTCATTTTCAAATCAACTGATATGATTGCAATTTTGAAACTAATAATTATGAATTCCCGTGCCTGGAAATTTGAATTTGTAGTTGATTAACAAAAATTCAGATTGATTGAACATGTAATGTCCTCAGTTTTTTGTAAATCTGGAATATATTTCTCAATGCTTATATTTGGTTTTTAAACAACTTCTTAATTGTTCATTTCCTTTCAATTTAAACAATTTGTCTTCTTAATGTCCACTTGACCTGTCCTGTTTTGAGACTATTGTTTTTTCTTATAAAAACCAATTGGACCACTTTGAGAAATATGGATGGTTTCCATGATATGGATATATTGTCATAAATTTTTCAATTATTTATGATCGGCGTTTTGTGAATTCAACTTTTCATTCACAAATACTCAAGTTGATATGATCGCCGAACATTTTGGTTGGATCGGGGGTCAACCACCCCCGCATACTTTTGCCTTTGGGGTGTAGAGTATGAGTTAATCATACATTAATGTTCGGCATTGATTTTATATTATTTCTAAATAATGTTTCCCATTTTTTTTGATTATTTGGGATTTTCTCCTCATTTCTATAAAATGAAAATAAGATTATTATTTCACACCCTGTGTCCGTTTTTCAAGCTCCACCATGGGGATCTCCGTTATTATAAGAGATACGAGGTCGGTTAAATAAGGGCAAAGTTGCGCATTTTTATGAGGAACATTTATCTGCAAAAAAATTTGAAATTATAAGAGATACGAGGTCGGTTAAATTAGGGCAAAGCTGCGCATTTTCATGCCGAACGAACATTTATCTGCAGGAAAATTCGATGTGTCATTTTCAGTTTTGGAACTATTCAAAGAAAACGAAAAGTTTTTATTTTCGTTTTTATTTCTTCAAGCGAAAATCCTGACTAGGACATTTTTCACAAGGAATCTGAATTTGTCATCGTATTTTCCATGACGTTCTTGATGTCAAAAGTTACAACACTCAACTTTTTTTGTTCTAATGAGCGCCAAATTGGATTTTTACATTTTTGAAAAGTATTATTTTTTTATTACAATTATGTGTCTCACGATATGATAGAATCTTTCCTGTTGATCAAAATTGGGAAAAACCCATTTTTGCTTTGGAAGGAAGAATAACAGTTTTATTCAACAAACTAAATTTTGACATTTCAATTGAATATGTGAACAAAAGTCAGAGCTGCTGAATTCCTAAGCTTATTCAAATAACGCAAGAAGGGTTGCCGAGTGTCAGATATGTTCCCTGACAAGGTAATTTCCAACAACGGACACATACGTTGGCCAGCATGGTCACCAGATCTCTCTTCACTGGATTATTATTTATGGGGAACTGTGGAAGATTTGATTTTCAAAAGATCCGAATTCAAATAAACTGTCAAAATTCATCTTGTCAAACAAAACTGTTGGATTTCTTTCCAAAGCACTCTTCTTCGCAAAAATGTTTTTTTCACAATTTCGATCAACAGGAAAGATTTGATCATATCGTGTGATACATCATTGTAATCAGAAAAAACAATTCTTTTCAAAAATACAAAAATCCAATATGGCGCCCATTAGAAAAAACAAAGTTGTGAGTTCTAACTTTGGCATCAAGAACGTCATGAAAAATACAATGACAGTATTAGGTTCCTTGTAAAAAACTTAAAAAAGTGCCTCAATAATGTCTCAGTCAGAAACAAAAAATGACGAACGGGAGCAGATTCATTCCCGAAACGTCCAAAGATAAGAACAACCAAAAGAGAAAAATCAAGAAATCCGCTTGCATTCTTCTGAACGGAGACAATTGCATTGCTTCCTGTTCAGTTGATATAGATAGAACATGGTATTCAGAGTATCCACTACTGAAAACTTAACATGAAAATGGTAGATTCAAGATCAATTGATTAAAACATCCTGTAACTCATTTGTATACTAACATACTAACTCATATGCCAACATCAGTACGTCACTGAGAGGTATCAAACTATAAGAAAAACATTTTTGAAGAAAAATATTTTGTATTGTTATGTTGGGAACGGAAGCCGATTCGTTCTCAAAACGTCCAAAAATAAGTAAAAATTCGATATTCTATCAATATATCTATATTTCTTTACGTCAAACATTTTTCCAAACAAGGTGTCCCTGACAACCTATTGGATTTTTCTTTTAGGCTCCCTGATAGAAAAATGTGTTGATAGCAGTGATATTTTGGGGCAAAACATCATATTTTTTTTATAGAAATGAGAGAAAATTACAAATAATCGGGTAAAATGAATATACCACCTCCTTGATTAACCTACAGACAGTAATGTATGCATAAATCAATTGGATATTGACCTTAATAGTGTTGAATTCCATATTAGAAGAACAAATTTGTCGTTCATTCTTTTGTTTTTAGTATTTGTTATGATGACGAATTGATTTTTTCTTCGCCATTTACATAAAACAGGTTACAAAATGACATTTATTATACTAATAATCATCATAAAACACGATCGTTGAACGTTAAATTATATTGTTAAGGTAAGCCTACTACACTATACAAATGAAATGATATATTATTTTTACTTCCATTCGGTTTAAAAAATAATGTAAAATCAATGCCAAACATCAATGTATGATAAAGGCATACTCTTCACCCTAAAGATGAAAGTACGCGGGGGTGGTTGGTCCCTGATCCAACCAAAATGTTGGGCGATTATATTGACTTGAGTATTTGTGAATAATTGGTTGAATTCACAAAATACCAAACATAATTAATTCAATTGAAAAATTGTTGACAACAATACACAGCACCACAGCGCATCGTATTGTACTGGAAGGTGGAATTTGGGGGGGTTCTTATACTGCTGAGTGGGAACAAATGAGACACCAAAAACACGTGTCACCTACTATATGTCAAATTCTTGTCTCAGGTTCCTAATAGGAAAAATTTAATTGTTGTGACATTTAGGGTCAAACCACCTGATTTGTCCTTATTACTGCTATTATTTTCATTCATACAGACAAGGTGAGCAAATCCCACAAATCTAGAAAAATAATGGGATGATTTTGTAAATCTATTGACTGCATTGTTTCTTTTATTAACATGTCACAAGTCAATATCATGAATAACTGAGACAGAGTTACTCTCTACTACTACTAATTTTGTAACCTGAGCTAAAATCTGGTGATTTCAATGCCTACATATTTTATAAAAGTGGTGAAACAGTACCTACTAAAATGTGAAAACATTTATTCACATGATGAGAAAAATTGGAGCCAATCCTATGATTTTTATGATTCATCCATATTACTGATTTTGAAATGAATAATGCACCAAACTTTATACTTTTTCAAGTACATATTTTAATTCTGTAATTTTCATTTCAGGTCGTCAAAGTTGCTAATGTTTCACTACTAGCATTATACAAAGAAAAGAAGGAGAGACCCAGATCATAATTTATCTTTTTTTTTTATTATAAAACTGACCTGTGTTTCAATAAAATGCAAGTCTGATGTTAGTATTATTGTGTTTTATTAAGAAATGAAATAATGTTTTCAATGTCTGATGTTTATCATAATTATGATAAGGTGTTTATTCTGCAATAACATATAAAATAATCCAATGATATCATATGCTGGTGTATCTAGGTGACCAGGATGAGTAATTATATTGTATACCAAGGTGCAGAAGACATTTATATTGAGTCAAACAAACTAAGGACGCCAGTCGATACAGCTTTCTGTACCTTGCATGGTTTATAATTAGATATTTTTTTTTCATAAAGTACAGAATAAGTTTATTTTTAGCCAAACTATCCATTATTCGAAAATTAGATGGCTTATTTTTAATTTCAATCTGCCACATTTATGAGGGAAAATAGAATATACAGGGTGATTCACGTTGAGTTATGACCACCGCGACAATTTTTTTGAATGGACCATCCTATCATAGTTCAATTTTGAACAGTGCGTCCGTGAAATTCATACTCAATGAGGGAGGAAAGTACTTTACTCCCATGTTATATGCATAGTGATTTTTCCTCCTTCCTCAAATAAGTAATTTTTGAATAATTTATTTATGAAACTAACAATCGAATTTTCTTGAAGAACAAAACTAGGTACAGAGTGTAACTTATAAACAAATCCATCAGGTTGTTCAGACTCATGAACCACCCTGTATCTGTTCCAATTAAATGTCAGAGATAGTAAATCAAAAGTTGAGATAGGGACAAAGAAGCCATATTGAACAATAATGAATAAAAATTTGAAAAAATCTTCATTTTGAACACCCTATACCTCTGTTATCATTTCCGCTAGACCACAAGTGTGATGAATCTTAAGGGAGAATCTAAAAATGCAATGATATATTCCATTCAAAACAAAGCAACTTTTATAAATTTCGTGTTTTTGACACACCCTGTATAACATGAAATAGTTATTTGTTTTACTAGGCAGAAAAATAGTAGATTGCCTGCCGCGACTGATAGTTCACAGCCCAGCGTAGCCAGGCTAGGAATTCAGCCGAGGCAGTCAATCTACATTTGCTGCCGTGTGAAACATGACATTTTTTCTCCAAATGATATAAAACCAGTTTTGTGACATTTTTAATTGAAAACTCCATCATTTTGTGTTCACTCAATGTCAGTATCAATTTTGATTAGTAATCTCATTAGAATTTCTTGGAACGTTGCATAGCTTTTACTGCCTAGGCAGTAAAAGTACACCTTTTCTGCCTTTTAAGCGGCAGGAAAAAGCCACTATCTCTGCCGCTTGGAGAAAATAGTTATTTGATTTACTAGGCAGAAAAGTAGTAGATTGACTGCCGCGGCTGATAGTTCAAAGCCGAGCGTAGCGAGGCTAGGAATTCAGCCAAGGCAGTCAATACCAATTTCATCAGGATTTCTTGGAACGTTGCTAGGGGGCAACATACCTCTTTTTGTGTCAGTAATAGAAACGTCAATTCAAGAGCTAATTTTGGTATCAAACTGGACGACTTTTGTGTCGGTTGCAAAAAAAAATATTTTTTTCTGTGACGGGAAAAAAGTTCGGCATTTCATCTCTGTTGGCAGGTTATAAAATGTCACTTCATAAATTACTTTTTTGCCGTGGGAAAAAAGTGAGTACTTTTTTCCCGGATATATATCACATATATATACTCTGTTAATGGCTTTTGTTGTGCTATAGTTCCGAAAAATGAGTCAATAATACCGTCTCCGAGAAAGAACTGCAAATCCTTTTATCTTCCATTCGACTTCGCGGTTTCGTATATTACTAAACAACTACTGAATTCGCAATTTTTCAAAATCAAATCACAGAATTGAAGTGACATCAGATATTTGATTACTTCAAAAGAATGATAAAAGATGCCTATAAAACGCAGGTATCCCTACTACTAAAAACTTGAAATTTCACGTCGATAATTTTCAGATTTCGAAATAATGTAATATCTTCTCAATATTGATTCGTCCTTCCTTCTGTCACAGAAAAAAATAGTGTATTATACACGGGAAAAATATTAGATTTTAGCTCACGGTTTTTTGTCTCCCTCCGCTACGCGTCGGGAGACAACCATATACGTATTAATAAACAATACGGATCATAACGGGTGCCAGGATGAAGCCAAAAATATTAAACAAATGAATATCCATAAGGATTTGGTGGCATGATACGCATGCGCCATGCGCTATTACAGTAGTCATCAAAGACATGCGTTTCGGTGGACAATGACGTTTACTAGCCTTTCAAACAAAGCAGTATGTGTCTGATCGTTTCAAAACTTTTCCTTATGGATAGTCATTTGTCTTCAAAAATCGGCTTCATGTTTCGCTATGGAAACAGATAGAGATTATCCGTATTGATTATTAATACGTATATGGAGACAACACAACCTGGAGCTAAAATCTACTACTTTTTTCCCTTGTATAATAAATAACTAATTTTTCTAATGTAGCTCTGATATATAGGCCCCTATTCATCCGAAAAAAAAAAAAACAATAATCCAAATGCTTTAGCCTCAACGCTTAGTATCGAATAACGACGTGAATGACCCTGTATAATAGAATATATTTAGGTTGTCAATGTCATATGAGATTTCATTGATGACGTACCATGCCGTCACTTTTACTTTTTCTGCCTAGGGAGCGGCCAGAATGGATAGAATAGTTATTTGTTTAACTAGGCAGCAAAGTAGTAGATTGACTGCCGTGGCTGAATTCATAGCCGAGCGTAGCGAGGCTAGGAATCCAGCTAAGGCAGTCAATCTACATTGCTGCCGAGTTGAACATATAATTTTTTCTCCGATTGTTCATAATGATATGGGAGAATATTGTATTTGCGAATTAATACAATTCCCACAATCTCTTTATTCTTCCTATATTGTGTTCAATTAAAATAAAATTTGATAGAAATCGCAGTTGTTGGTTTGACAACTCATGAAATGACAGTTGTGCGAAAAAATATCGCTATATTTAAATTATTATATAATGGACAGTGATAGCGACCAGGAAGTATACTTACACCTCCATTAATAAGGGAGGTGGCAAAAAATATAGAGTTGAATTTGTTGCCGGAGAAGTCTCGGATGGAATATGAAGGAAATTATAAACGATTTACCGATTTTCAATTTTGCTGATACATATCAATCAGCAAAGTAACCACTTTGCTGCCTAGGCAGCAAAGTACCCACTTTGCTGCCTAGGCAGGAAAAGTAATACTTTGCTGATCGATATGTGTCAGCAAAATTAATATTTGCTGCCAATCGGAGGAAAATGAATTTTCCCAGCAACCTCATCCAACACTTGTAGTACTACAACAATTTCTGAGAAATTGAAACAGTTTTTTTCAATTTGCTACGAAAGCGTAGAATATTTTTTTTATAATTGACAGATACAAATTCAAATCACAATAACGTATTGGCCATTTTGACAAATTTTGACGTCACATCATCAGTCATCTCAACACATAAGGCCTTTTCTTTTGCACGAAAAGTGTAGCACATTCGTACACATTTGAGCATTCTCTTGAAAAATGCATTTCACACCAGCACACACCAGTGTAGTTTTTCTCCACGGCCTTGGGCAGGTGTGAATTACACAGATTCAAGAATTAACAAAATCACGATAAATGACTCGAAATACCTGTGTGATTATATTTATAATAGATATACATCTATACTGGGAAATCAAATACCACCTTCTGAAATCCGAATTTCATTTCTCTTCCTTGATTAAATTTCCTTCATTCCTTTCAAATCCGTTGTACGAAATATCGGCTGATTCATGATACAATGAAGGTCCTTTTTAATGTATCATGCGGCTGATTCATAGTGTAGTGCATTTTACACCGCGATGAAATGCAGACGAAAGAACCTTTTCACAGACACACATCTGTGACTAGTCTGACTGTTGACTGAGCACAGACACAGAACAGAGTGGAAGTTTTATGTTTTATTATTATTGGAATGGATGATGATGGGAGGGGTTTGGTTTTTAATTCTAATGAGTAATAATGAAGATTCAAGTACTACTTGAATACTTGAAAGCAAATTACCAATAATAGCAAAAGTTGAAGTATATAATCAATCATTTCGTAGAATAGCATGTCCGAAAATTGCAATAAGACTGAATCAGTATTAGTGTATCCATATATCAAATATTCCTCATTCACCTGGATGCCACAATGAGTTTTTCATCCTTGTTCAAAAGCAGTAAAAGAAAACATCATCCTGTCGAAGAAAACAATATAGCTGTAATAGGAGCACCAACTAATGTGAATCATGATATTCATGTAACTGTGAATGATCAGGGCCACTTAACTGGGCTTCCATCTGCTTGGGTAAGACAGATAGGAACACAAATAACTGAGGATGAACAGTCCAAGAACCCACTTGTTGTGAAGCAAGTCCTACAATACTACAATTATTCCATAAAGAAGGGTAACCAGGATGGCCAAGAATATAAACACATTGTTACAGAGAAAGATATTGTGGAAGAATCCAAAGAAATAGACAATTTTTCACATTCCAAAGATGCACACAAGAGTAAAGATTCTATCTTATCAGAACACTCAGAGAAAGGTGATATTATTAGGTATGTAATTTATTTTATGGTGTAATTGCATTTTATTTAAAGTTTCTTATAAGTAAGTTTGGAATATGAGGAAGTGTATGAGATCAATGGAGTTCAAGAATGAAATTGTTAGGTACTTGGAAAGCACAGATCTTATATGTATAATATCTCTACCAAGGAAGCAAGCTAAAGCTAATTTATTTTACCTTCTATGAAGGTAATATAATGTATAAAGTCTAATAGTGCAAGGTACAAATCTTTTTTTTCCTCTAATATTTTTTTAAACATTTTCTTGATGGTTTGTATGTGGCTTTCTGCCACGCCATTTGAGTTGGCATAGGTTGGAGAAGAAAAAGTTAAAAATTCCATTCATTTGCAAATCATTTAAATTGATTGGAGCTAAACTGAGGCCCACTATCTGAGACCAGTGTCAAAGGTATACCAAACAAAGAGAATCTATCTTTCATTATTTCAATTATTTTGTCACTTGTTGTATTTCTTTGTAAATCTACCACATCAACAAATTTAGATTGATAGTCAATGAAGGAGATATTCATGTCCACTTATTTCAAGAATGTCACATCCTACCTTATTCCATGGAATTAAGGGGATGTCATGACTTTCTATTGATTCTTTATGTTGTGTGTTTGCATATTTGAATCATAGGTGACATTGTGAGATTTTTTTTGTTTGATTTGGTTTACCATTTGAGACCAAAAAATTAATTATTGTGCTAACTGAATAAATTTTTTCACCTCCAGATGATTATAGTGAATACTTTTCATCATTTCACTTCTCATACCTTTGAAAATTAAATCATCATTTATGCACAATTCACTCTTGAAAGGTGCATACTGTCTAAAATTTTCCCTTATTTTTGTATTGTTATTTGGCCAACCTTCTAAAATGACTTGTTTTAAATCTTATTAATTCATTCTCTTTGTTCTTTTCTTTTTTTAGTTCAGATAATTTTTCTGGAGTTGCATTTACTTCCATCTCAACTAAACAAACTTGAGATTGAATGTCATCATCCAGACAACAGTTTTCTCTTCTGGCAACATATGCTTTTGAAAGAGCATCTGCTATCAGAAGTTCTCTTCCATGTTTGTAGAGCAGGTCTATCTCAAATTTTTGAATTTGCATCAACATTTGCTGAAGGCGTGCTGGGCATTTATTCAGGGTTTTTATTTTAAATGTTAATGAGCAGTGAATGGTCTGTTTCAACTGTTATTTTTTTTTTCCAAAAATTTATTGGTATAATCTTTCCAACTCAAAACAAATTGCAAGGAGATCCTTTTCAATTTGCCCATATCACATCTGTGTCTCTGTCATGGCTTTCCATGCATATGCACAAGGAAGTCCTATTTTGCAGAAGTACTGCACCTAGTCCTGATTTTGAAGAGTCAACTGAAACAACTATCCCCTGTGTAACATCGAAAAAATGAAGTACCAAGTTTTTGTTAAAATTTTTTGAATGCATTTTGTTGCTGTTCATTCCATATAAATTCATTATCTCTTTTAAATAATTCAATGGAGCTGTTTTGCTTGAGAAATTTGGTAAAAAGTTGCTAACATAATTATTTCAACATGCCTGGCAACCTTTGAACACCTGATTGGTCTTTTGGTTCAGGAATATCCTTAATTCCTTGAATTTCAGACTCACTAGGTGACACTCCATCTTTGGAAAAGATGTGTCTCATGTATTCAATTTTATTTAGACCAAACATGCATTTTGAAAGATTAAATTTTACCCTATTATCTTTAGATATCTGTAACACTCTTTTGAGTCTAGTGTCATGTTCAGCTCTTGATGTACCCTATACAAGAAAGTCGTCAATATACACATTGTTCCTGAATCTGAGAATAAGCTTTTGATCCTTTTGTGGAATACCTCTGGTGCTGATTCAATGCCATATGGTGATTGTTGGAATTTATAGCAACCAAAGGGTGTTCCAAAGGTACAAAGGTCTGTACTCTCTTTGTCTAGTAGGATTTGGTAGAACCCATTGGTAGCATTTGATGCAATTCAAAATAATGGAATAATTGGCATTTGATGCCCTTTGTACTTCTTGCCTGTTTTGACTTCTTTTCCCTAGAAAATTGATCATATTATGTTATGTATCATTTTTTTCTCAAACCATGCAATATAGGGTGTTAACATAGCAGGAGAAATAGTCCGTGAAATACCTCGCCAAATACTTATTCAATACAAAATGTTATTTCAGTTCAAGTCTCCACCCTGTATGATATTGAAAACAAATAGTCTTTTTCACTATGTATATCAAGATTCAATATTTTTCAGGGAAACATATCCAATTCGCCCACCGCGAAAAGTTGACGGTACTAATCTAGTCCAAACAAAAAATCTTGCACAAAATTTTGAAGACCTCACACTAGTGAATGAACTGAAAGGAGATGTGGAAATCAGAAATAAATCAGATTCTGATTTGTCAGATGACGATTTCATGAGAAGGCGTAGCGGTCTCACAGATGAAGATTACATGATTAAAATTAAAAACATTTGCAATCCAGGCGATCCCTACGACTATTATGAAAGAAGCAATAAAGATCTTGGGTCTGGAGCATCAGGTATGGTTTTTGCAGCTGTTTGTAAAAAAAGCGGCCAACTTGTTGCTATCAAGGATATTGATATGACAAAACAGCATAAGAAAGATTTGCTGTTGAGTGAAATCAAAATAATGAAAAACTTCAAACACAAGAACTTGGTCAATTTCCTAGATGCTTTCGTTATTTACGACGACCATTTATGGGTAGTAATGGAATTACTAGATGGGGGCCCCCTAACTGATGTAGTAACTGAAACGGTTATGAAAGAAGGCCAAATAGCAGCAGTATGTTGTGAAGTATTACATGCTATCGACTACTTACATGACAGGGGCACCATCCATAGAGACATAAAGTCTGACAATGTCCTGTTAGGCATGGATGGAACCGTCAAAGTAACCGACTTCGGATTTTGCGCCAACGTAGTGGGTATGTAACTCTACATCTTTATGAGAATAGTTGTAGATAAATATGAAGTTAATAGTTATTTAACCAACTAGTGTGTAAATAAGGGCGATTAATGGGCTATATTTTATCAAGCAAAGCAAGCATGTTAATGTTTGAGATCATCAATAGCCTTAGTTGGTTACAAGATTTAGTGTGGATTTATGCAGCGTCATTTAACATGTATCATGTAACAATTATCAATTAACATTTATCATGTAACAAGTAGCGAAAATGGTACCATCTATGCATACCAAATTAACATTTAAGAAGAAATTATACGCATGAGCACAAGTCAGTCCTTTCAGCTTAACCCTCCTCTTTTTATGTAAAAAAAAATAATACATTCTCAAATGTTATAAACATATTAATATTTGTTTCCTGAAATGGAAGAGGCAGAAGCGCTTTTTGTCCTGATGATGCTGTTGACGGCATGACATTTAGTTTTTAGGTTAATATCAATACCCGGCGGACCAATCCGAGATAATTTGCGTACAAGGTTGCGCACAATAGGGAAATCTGGTTCATTTAATGTAAGAAGTTGAAAGTTGGCCAACATTCTACATGTTACATGATATTGGAAAATATGAAATTCAACTTATAATTCATATACGAAACAGAAACCACAGACCACTATTCCACAATGATAGATATGAAAATCAATAAAAACAAAGATAACTTAGAACTTCAAAATGAATACAGGAAACATAAGACATATTTGGATTATAAAAAATTGAAAGAAGAACTTAATAAGGAAAACTGGGATATTTTTACAACAGCCCACGAAGTTGAAGAAATCACTGAAATAATAATAAATAAAATCAAGTCCACTGTAAGAAAGCACACAAAAATTGTTAAATCAAAGCACTCTGACAAAAAAAAATCTTGGATAACAAAGGCAATCATTGTATCGGTGAACAAAAAGAACCAACTACGTAAACAAGCAAAATTCAATCCAAATAATGAAGATATTCAAAAAACCTATAAAAAATACATAAACAAGCTGAATCTACTAATAAAAAATGCAAAAATGCAATATTTCAATAAAGAGATACAAAGGAACAAGGGATCTTCAAAAGGCCTGTGGGATGCTGTCAAAAAAATGTGTAACGAAAATAAAAACCATAATACTATAATGACAATTAAAACATCAGATGATGTCATAATAGCCGACAAAACTGAAATTTACAATTCTTTCAATAAACACTACTTGAATGTAGGAAAAAATCTCGCGGCAAAAATATCTCCTCCAGATAACTACATCGAAGATATAAACTCAATAAATGAAACAGTCTTTCTCTTTCCAACTAATACCTTTGAAGTGAAATCAATAATAAAATCCCTCAAATCAGGCAAAGCACCAGGGTACGACAATATAACGTCTGAACTACTGAAGGAAAACTGTGATAACTTAGCTAAACCTCTGAGTTATCTTACTAATAAATTTTTTGAAAGTGGCCAGTTTCCGCAACAATTGAAAATTGGTGTAATTAAACCACTTTACAAAAATGGACAAAAAGAAAATATAGTTAACTATAGGCCAATCACCCTCATATCTAGTATCGCCAAAGTTGTGGAAAAAATTATTAAAAACAGAATTGATAGCTTCTTAAAGAAACATAATATACTGTCTGATAGACAATTTGGTTTTCAGTCAGGCAAATCCACTCAAGATGATATAGCTCAAGTTGCAAAAATTATTTACGAGAATTTAGATGATAGTAAACCAACTCTGGGTGTCTTTGTCGACCTAGGAAAAGCCTTCGATACAGTAAACCACACTAGATTATTGAAAAAATTAGAAAAAGTTGGCTTCAGAGGGAGAGCACTGCAACTTATAAGAACATATCTAATAAATCGAACACAATACGTTCAAATTGATGAGACCAGGAGTGATGCAGGTGTAATAGAGCACGGTGTCCCTCAGGGTACCGTGCTGGGCCCGATTCTATTCAACCTGTATCTGAACAATCTACTCAACATATCTAAAAAGGGAAAAATAATAAGTTTTGCGGACGACACCATAGTAATCTATAGTGCCAACTCTTGGGAAGAATTGAAAGAAACCTCTGAAAACGACTTTCAGTTGATACAAAATTGGTTTGATGCTAATATTCTCACGGTGAATGCCGATAAAACCAAATACCTCCCCTTTACATCTTACCAAAATCAGTTACCAAAATTTGACTCACTAACCATAAAGAGAAACCAAAATGAAACAATAGTGATCGAAGAAGCGGCAAGCATTAAATACCTTGGCATTATGATAGACAGGCATTTCAGATGGGATCTGCAAATAAATTATTTGATAAAAAAACTAAGGATGCTACTTCCAAAGTTCAAACTCCTCAAGCAATTCTTAACCTTGCCCCAGCTGAAAATATTTTACTACTCACTCATCCAGTCGCAGCTTAGTTATGGTATAATAGGATGGGGAAGTGTCAATAAAACTCACCTAAAAAATCTCGAAGTTTTACAGAAGTGGCTACTTAAAATAATATTTAATAAACCTAAAACTCACCCAAGTGAACAACTGTACCAGGAATCTGGCATGTTAGACATTAGGCAAATTTACTGTAAAACTTTACTGATTTACCAGTTTAAAAATAAAAAAGATATTCAGTATGGAGAGTATAGCTATGACACAAGGAACAAAACGAAAGTAACAAAAAAGAAATCAATTAAAAAGTCAATAGGTTCCAGAAATCACTGTTATACTGCCCTGAAAGTTTATGATCTTCTTCCGCAAGATACAAAAAACATAAAAATATTCCACAAATTCAAAACTCAATTGAAAAAATGGCTACACGTGACTCCCTGTACTATAATTCATCAAGCTATTGAAACATAACGGGATGATATAATACATCCTCGGAGCCGAACCTTGTGTGTTTGAAACCGCTCAATGCGTTATATATACAGACATTCAGTTAAAAAAAAAAATGTGTGTATGTATATATGTGTATATATGGGGACACACATATATTATGCATCATTGTTGTCCATCTATTATTATCATTGTCGTTATTATTGTTATTATTGTTATTATTATTATTGTATTATTGTTATTATTAGGAACATTATATTAACTGTATTTTCACATGCCTAGCACTACTTACGCATTCTTTGATGTTTACATTGTCAACTGCTCAATCTCTATACCTCATAAATCAAGAACTGGGTTCTTTTAGAAGTAAGATTTGAGCAATATGTCATGTATTCACTCAACAAAACCTACAAGTACTTCGTACTTTCGGTTTGCAGATAGTTTAGTCGCGAACTAGAAATCTTAATATGTTACCTATTGATTATTGTATAATTGTGTGAATAAACTATTTATTATATTATTATTATAATTGTTAATTGTAAAATGATAACTGTTACATGATACATGTTAAATGACGCAAAATTTGATTCGCAAATTCATTATTCCTCTGGAAACTACTGAATTTGAGTGACTTTATAAATAGTGATGACAATAGTGGTACACTTTTTGATTGGTCACACCTCTCTGATATGGAGGTGCATCCACCTGTCTTGTTTCCTCCATTCAGTTCTATACATTCTATTTCACTTTGTCAATGCTTTTTCTCTGTTTTCTGCTATTTGGACACTAAACATCTAACAATCAAACATAAAATTATGTACGTCAGTACCTTGGATATTGACTTAGAATCCTTTATGACTCGTAAGTCTCAGATTATTCAGATGATGAAATAAAAATATAAAATATCTAAAAATAACATCAGGTGGACACTTCAAAGGTGCCAATTCATTACTGTATGGGATATACCCTTCAGATTTTTAGCAATTCAGTGATTTGACGACCACGAATGACATTTCGGAAACGGCTGCCATTACAGAAACGGAGGCACAGAATTATATACTCCCTTAGAATGCCAATACATACGGATGCGCGAAAAGAAAATTACACATTACAGATGCGTGCTCTTCTGAGTTAGTGCATTGCGACAGCATTAACGCCAAATCTAAAATATTTTATGTCTTCGAGGGGAGTATTAAGGAGATAATAAAAAGTAAATGAATTCTCCATCAATAACGTCAGGACAGTTATCATGAAAATATGATCCTCTATGATTCAGTCACTGTTTTCCTGGAAAATTTCACGAAACAAACAGTTCAATATATCCACTTGGCAACAGTGTGTAAAATGAAGGTCGTTGCCTCCCATCAACTCCACAACAATCAATTTATACCGGGTGTCCCAACAGTGCGTATTTGCTCCATATATCGATATTGCTGTAATATATAAAAAAAAATTCATATAAAAGTTTTATGGCACCACAAAGGCCACATTTTTAAAATAGTTCCTGATTCACAGGGTGTTGCATTTTTCCGTAATAACAAAAAATATGTATTTTTCAAATGGAACAACCTGTTTAATCTTTTTTCGCTACATTGCACCGTTGCCAAGTAATTAATTTTTTCGAAAAAATAGGGAGTGATGCAGGCTCTGATTGAAATATCTGTGATTAAGCCGTTTCTTCGAAGATCTGAATTTTGTCGGGTGGATTGACGTAAAGAATGCCAAAGTAGCGTTTAATACTCTGATCTTCATCGATATTCATACAGGGTGCTATGAAAAAATAACGAAAAAATCATATTTCTAGTGGATATTCGTATATAAAACGTGTAAGTATGAATGTGAGTATTCAGACTCGAATCGTTATATACAGGGTGTAACATAAGTACTACTAAATATCCAAATGACGTGTTCCTGAGAACATTTCAAGAATTGTTTTCTTTTAAGTTTAACTTGTATCTAGCAAAGCTTCGATTCGGAGATCCAGGGTATTGAAATTGACTTTTTTTGTTTGCTTTTTAAAAATAACTTTCACAAAGAAAATGGGTTATTCGCACGAAATTTCGTACCCGGGGGCGTATTTACTAAATATACTGTACGCTAGCACAAACCACTCCCACCGTTATATCTCATCTTCAAAGTACTTTACTTAGGCAAAACTCAGAGACTATGTATCCTCAACGAACTAACCTATCCCTGATTGCAATATTTTTGAGGAAGGAAAACCGAATGGAGTGTAGAAACACATTGATTAATAATATATTTCAAAAGTTGAGTTCTTCAACAAAATTGAATAAAATGAGACTGTTTATCCTAAACGCACTAACCTATTTGACTTCAAATATTTTATGAAAAAGGAAAACCAGAATGAAGTAAAAAAACATTGGTGAAAAAAAAAGTTGCAAAAAAAAGTTCAAGTTCACAGCGATTCGAACCATGGACCTTCAGGCTGAGAGTCGACAGCGCTAACCAGTAGACCATTTGGATGTATGAAATTACTGCGTACAAGAGATTCACAACGAGAGAGCTTCAGTCGAATTCGTGTCAAAATCAGAAAAAGTGTATTCCTGCGTTGGAGCACAGTATAATTTTAGTGCGATGTGCTGACTCCGAGTATATCGGTAATGTTTGGAGATATGACGTATTATGGTGGGCGTGGTTTGTGCTAGCGTGCAGTATATTTAGGAAAATCGCTACCCGGGGTGCGTACGCGTAACATTTTTGACTGTAAACTTTTGTTACTTTCCATAGATATACCTTATTCCCACATCTTTTCCAAGTAAAAAAGGTACACTTCCTCCTCAACGCTGGAGCGTTTTCACATATTCACAATTTTCTTTATCAGTGCATATTACTTAGCTCCTAGTTGAAGTTGCTTAGAACATTACAAAACAAAGTATGTTGTAGGTCGAACAGCAATATATCAAAACTCGTTTCTCTATAAAACGGGAAAGCTCTGGAATTCATTGCCTGAGGAAGTATGTCCAAGAACTTATAATCTCCAAAAGTTTTAAAAAATGCCAACACCTACATCCTGTCCCTATCCTATCTAGGTATGCACGATGTTTTGCGAACATTATAGGGATTCCCTTTCGTGCGCACCAAGCGATAAAAACAGTGGTTTATCGAAAAATGATTTATTCTCTGTATTTCAAAACCCTGTATCTCCGACATGAAGCATTTTCGGACACAAGTTTATATAGACTTTTTTTCTTGAATTTGTCTCAGGAATACGTCTGTTGACTATTTTAACGTACTTATGTTAGGGCATGTGAATGGCAACAAAATTCGGCTATCGTACGTCTTCACTAGGAATATTTAGAACTGAAATTCACTATGCACTCAACTATCTCCGCAACTCTCCGTGACTGCGATGTTGCCAAATGCCATCCTTCCTCAATACTCCTATTTGTATATGATAAACAACCTGTATAAAGTGTCCAATGATGAAAAACAGTGCAATTAGTTGTAAATGGGTATCGAAGACAGGCGAAAAAAAGAGGGTGAAATTTCCAATTTTTTCGTGAAATATCTCAATAAATAGTGGTTTGTTCTCATTTTCATTACAAATGTCGTGTTTCTTAGACAGAAATACATAGGTGTAAAAACATTATGAAAAAAAAAAAACATCCCAGGATAAGTGCAAAATTATCCAGTTTTGTTCTAACTGTGGAAGTTCGTTTGATACAATACAATCTGATCATAGCTTTTAAAATACGGGGTGACTGTTACAGGTAATGAACAAAGAGAAACCATGGTCGGGACCCCGTATTGGATGGCACCCGAGGTGGTCACCAGACAAAAGTACGGCAAGAAAGTGGATATTTGGTCCCTGGGCATCATGATTGTTGAGATGTTGGATGGGGAGCCACCTTATTTAAGGGAACCGCCTTTGCGTGCCTTATATTTGATCACTGCTAACGGCAGACCAAAAATTGCCAGATGGGACACTTTGACCGAAAAGTTGCAGAGTTTCATCGATTTGTGCCTGCAAGTCGACGTCGACAAACGTGGAACAGCCAAGGAGCTGTTAGAGCACGAGTTTTTGAAGGACTGCATGGAACTCAGAACTTTAACTCCTCTGATCAGGGCCGCTAAGAAGATGTTGCATAAAACTTGAGGTCTTTTTCCAGAGAAGCAATTGTTTGTATATTTTTGATACTCATATACTATCGATATTTTCTGACAATTCCACTGCAGTGATTTTTTGTTCGAGTTTGTATGCACTAGAGTGCCTAAAACAGCAGTAAAAATATGACAAAATACTTTACGTGTGCAATATCTACATGAACAGAGACAAAGATATCCAAAATAGGCCTTATAACCATTGTGAATCTTTTTCAATATAGTTCAATGAGTTAAACTACATTAAGAATGTTGTTATAAGACTTCTATAGTAGATATTATTTTAGGAAAAGATAGGCATAGAGATTGTTCCTGAAACCGCCACTTTAGAAGTTATTTCGGCTAATAAGAGATTTGTAACGATTAATAATTGGGCAAACACGACGAATCATTGGCACAAGATTTAAAGAACATATTGCTCACTTCGGATATATTCACCCTATCACTTTGAACGATCTAAGACTTCTTGAAAATGTAACAAACAATAGAGAATTGAACAATTTGGAAACTAGTTACATTAATCATAGAGATCATTTGATACTTCAAGATTTGGCACCAATTCTAGCTAGTTTCGAACTTCCGATAATAATTGAACCAAAACCACCCTCTGAACAAAACAAATACTATAGTCAGCTGATCTCAATTTCCTTTCAAGTTCAACTAAGGGATGTTGCCGAAATACGTAAGTATTTGGGCTTATTCAAATGTTAATGTGTTATTTTGGGTATGATTTAAATTTGCTTTGGAAACATTGAAAAAAAAAATGACAAAAATTTCCACCACTATAAAAAGCGTCTATGTCAGATGATCTAGGCACTCTAGTATTCACGAAATGAACATTATGGAATATAAAGCAGTTTATTCTCAACCAAAGTTGATTGTAATTCCAAATTGTTGGAAATATACAACAAATTTAACTTCATAAAGTCAAATCAACAACGGAGAAAGGTGCTTTTTATTTTGATAAGTCTTTTTCATTGATTTATCATTTTTATATATTTGTCTCTGAACCTTATTTGAAGATGATTTTATACAAAGGTATGTTTTGGAAAGTTTTAGCTATATTGTTAATCGCTGTATTTATACTTTTAAAAGGCAATAAAGTTTTTATCTATTTGAGGCTCATGCTGAAAAAATGTCCAATTATTCAAGCTACCAATCGGTGATCAGAATATGGCGATAAAGAAATCAATTGATTGGTCTGTGTTATGCTTTATTTGTACATACAATGTTTATATTGAAAATTAAACAAATTGATTATAAAAATGTGTCTGCAAACTACACAAGTTAGGTAACATAACGATTCATTTTCCAAAATTTCAGCTTTCAAAAATAAATAGTACTTTATTTTCACTTATTTATTCAATATAATTTACAATATTTAACATCGTACAAGAAACTTTGTGGATCATGTAAAATTAGTTTAACCAAAATAACAAATACAGTAACACTATCTTATTATACAAATTACTCTTATGAAGAGTACCAATCAAATTTCAACAATTTTCACAGTCAACACAATTAAATGCTGCAGACCAAACAACTCCACAAGCATAGTAATCATTAAATGTTCAATACTACACAATACTAGTGCTGCAATTGTAACGTAACAATGAAAGAAGAAAAAAATCATTACGAATAATTGGTATAAACGATGGGAACCAAAGTCACTCCAAGTGTCAGTTTCACATAGTATCCAATGAACCTTCAATTGAAGCACTTTTCACCGGGACGATTTTAAATCTGAAATGAAAATAGAATGATTTAAAAAAAGCGACAATGGTTATCGAATTCAGATGAAGATCTTGTCATATCGTCATTCAATGGCTCAGATTGAAGGTAGAATTTCCGGTAACAGTGGACTACACTGAAGGTCGCTGATAAGCAAAGCTCTAATAATATACAGGGTGAGTCAGAATAAGACTCTGAGATACAGGATGCCAAAATTATGAAACAAGTTAAGGTTCACATTAATTTCTTAGGAACCCCTGAAGAAAAAAAAATGTAACTTGGTATAGATACTATTCCAGATTAATCAATGTAATCACATGGAGTTTCCATTTTTGATTATCGTTAAGGTGGCGAAGTTACAATCGTATGTCGCCACATTTTCCTTAGATAGACGAATTGTCAAATTTGGTATATGACATCAGTTAGGCTCATCGATATCTAATATAGAAGTAATAAAATTGCACATATTAGGTAAACGCTGATCTTTCTCACGAGATATAAAAACATAATTGAATGTTGAGAACATTGAAACAGTGGTGTGAATTATGTCTCAAAGTGCAACCTGTTAGAGATACTAATTGTTGAATATTTAAAAAAGTTGAGCATTACAAATTTATTTTTCTTGAACATGAATCAATATTAGCCTCTAAACATATCTTTAGTTTTTAGCAAACATATCAAGAACCTCCACATTTAGGCATGTGGAATGTTATTACTTTTAGGTTGTAGATCGGGAGCCCACAACGTGTTTTTGGTGTCTCATTTGTCCATACTCAGCAGTATAAGAACCCCCTAAATTCCACCATTCACTACACGGATATGAGCCCGCCAAATAAAAATCGTATGCCAAAGGGAAGGGGCCGCGTGGGTGTGTTTGTATTAAAAAACCCGGGGTATCGAATCATTACTTACCGTTCGGCGTATGTCGCAAGTGACTGTAATTGGAAAAAAGTTTGGACTGTCGGAATTTGGGTTCTTGTTTTTATAGTGCCGAGTGTGAACAAATTAGAAACAGAAAACACGTTGTGGGCTTCCGGTCATTTCATTAAGAAAAAAAAAAGAAATGATAGAAAATGTGGCGATATACGACCGTAACTACGCCACTGGTTATCAAAATTCTAAACTGAAAACTCCTAAGTAATTACCTTGTGTTAGAGATCTTTTTAGGAATGAAGTTGGCAACACTGTAGTCAAATGCATGAATGACATTTGACAGCGTCTGTCTATGTCACTGATGTTAGTGGAAGTGACAGGGACAGTGAGAGAGGGGGAGATGAAAAATAACAATCGACATCCTGGACTGAGTGGCTTTATTTTCCAAATAAAAGAGTGAAAGCTCTGAAACAAAAGTTGAATCTTACATTTCAGAAGTGGGATGGTGGACGCTGATTATTAGCAATCAGAAACAAATTACAGCAAACAAGGGTGAACAAAGTAGTGCAAAAACGAATTCTCATCTGGACCACAACACGGAACAAGATGGCGAAATTGGCAGGACCTGTTATCGAAATTGTCGAAAACTGAGTGACTATTGACTTTACCACTTTACTGATTGAAAAATCATTTTTGTTTTGAAAATGAACGAAATCCAAGATAATGAAAGAGATAATCTCGAAGGCTTTGGTGTAGGATTATCACACAGTCTTCCAGACAACATGGACCTACAAAGGATGACGGAGTTGATGATTTCTGAAAGTCGACGCTGAGAAAAAGCATTTCTACAAGTTTTGGGTAGATTAACTCCAAGAGCAAGCACTGGTCCAAGTATTCCAAGTAACGCTAACCCAGGAAATAGTACATTTCCATTCCATGTCATGCCAGATTTATTCAAGGTGATAGGGCATTTTGATGAAGACAAAAATGTTTCACATGCTGATAAGTGGCTCCAGAGTGTGGAAACAAGTGCAAGATTGAACCGTTGGCCAGATATACATTAGAAGTGACAAGATGACATCTGAAAGGTCCATCAGTGTATTGGTATGATGCCAAATCAGAATTTATACATACTTGAAATGAATTCGAAAGAACCTATTCCAAAGTGGAGGGATTGTTACAAAAATGGGACAGGAAGGGGACTAGGAGACAGGGCAAGTCAAAGTCCAAAATGACCTACTTCTATGAAAGATAATTATGATCTGTGTAAAAAGTTAGACCTGAATTTCAATGAAGCAAAAGAAGAAATTCTAGGTGGTCATCATGACTCGGATACTTTACTACAGGACATTCTTGCCATAGAAATAATGACATTTGATGCTAATGCTAGACCGGAAATCATACCAATTGGCAGGGAATTTACTACTAGACAAGTGGATAGTCAACCTGCATTAAGAAATGATAGATTATCTCGAAAATGTTATAACTGTGGTCTTAGCAACCATACATCTGATCGGTGTAGGCTTGAAAACTCAGTGTGTTTTTCTTGCAAACAAGAAGGTAATTTTTCCACTAACTGCCCAAAAGAAAGAAGTTAGTGTTCCTCAACCCAGAGAACAGTCAAGGAGTGCTAATGTGCCGAACAGAGACAATAATAATGTACAAAGACATGTGAATGTTGTAAATAGTGTTGTTGATCTTACTGATGCAAAAGCAAATGACATTACTGAGGAAAGTGGAGGTACCATCAACATCATCGAACCAAAAGCAATATCCTAAAAAAAGTTCATAAAACGAGTGCTAGTAAATGGTTCAATTTTACTAAAAGGACTTGTAGATACAGGAAGTTCTGTATGTACAATTAGTGAAAAAGTTGTCAAAAAATTCGGCCTAGACATTGTATATGATCGCCAACCAATGTATGGTTTTGGTGAAAATAAAGAACTAGCCTTGTACTCTCTTGGCAAGACAAAGGTACATATTTTAATCGATAATGTATCAGCTGACAATATTGAAATGTGGATTGTACCGGTTACAGCTCAAGAAACTAATCTGCTGTTTGGAAGATCATTTTGCGAATTAGATCACATTGCATACATACATAAGTGTGGGTGATGAGTTGACATTTGGTTATGCACATATTGAACAATTTAAATACATTGACATTTCAGCTATTGTCAAATCAAATTCCAAAATGCTAAAAAGTGCTAAAAACAATGGAAGAAAAAAGTTGAGGCTTACAAAGCTCATCATCTCAGAGTTGAAAAAGCAGTGAAGAATATAATACTGAGAGAATATAATGCTACAGATAAAAAGATTATATGCAGAGCAGGATAAAATATCAAAATACCTGAGTACAAGTGATAAAGAACAAAATGAAAATTTTGTAAGTGCCAAACAAGTTCCCATAACCATGGAAATGGTTAATGTTTCAAAAGAAACACGTACTCTCAAAAATGTGAACTGTTCGACTTGTTGAATAAATTTAGAGACTGCTTTGCATTGGACCTAGATGAACTGGCGTGCACAAATCTAACCCAGATGGATATTGTTGACAATAATATGCCTGTTAGGTGTCAACCATATAAAGTCTCCACAGCTGACAAGGAAACTATAGGGAAATCAGTTAGTGAGCTGAAAAGATGTGGTATAGTAACTAGTCCTTATTCTTCACCAGTCTTACTAGTGAGGAAGAAAAATGGAGATCCTAGATTGGTAGTGGACTACCGCAAATTAATAAGCAGACAGTGCCAATGAACTTCCCAATACCTGGACTAGATGTTTCAACACCTAGCTGGAAACTCACTATTTGCCTGTTTGGACCTAGCCAATGGGTACTTGCAAGTTCCATTGACTGAAGCTGGTTGTCAGAAAACGGCGTTTATCACCACCGATACCACAGAAGAATTGAAGAGGATGATATTTGGTCTAACAAATGCACCATATGAGTTTGTGCGATTAATGAGTATTGTGCTTGGTTCTCTAAGAAATAAGGTATGCTGTTGCCACTTAGATGACGTAATAATACCTGCAGAGTTGGACTGACTTGCTAGATAGACTGAAATTAGTATTACAAGCATTTCTGGATGCTAATCCGACCTTGAACCCAAGAAAATGTGAGTTTGGGAAAAAAGAGATAGATTTTCTTGGCTCAAACCTGGAATGAAAATGTTACAGGCTGTAGAGGAATTTCCAGAGCCAAAATCCGTGCACGAAATAAAAAGATTCCTTGGACTATCAGGATTCTTCAAGCGTTATATACCTAAATATGCCATAATTGCCAGACCTCTTACTGAGCTTACAAAAATAGACAAGAACTTTGAGTTCAATGACGAGTGTCAAGAAGCATTCCGTAAATTAAAGGACACTTTGTTACAGTATCCAGTACTGAAACTATGATTGCAATGCAGGAACCGAACTGCATACAGATGCTAGCTCTGTAGGAATAGCAGGTATGCTTTTACAAACAGATGAACTTGGGAAAAAAAGGATCAGTCTATTGTGTTTCCAAAAAGACAACCAACAGTGAGAGTATATACCACTCCTCACAGCTAGAATTATTGGCTATAATATGGAGTGTTGAGAGATTAAGAGCACTATTAATAGGTATCAAATTCAAGATTGTAACTGATTATCAGGCAATTATATACCTAAATAGCAAAAAGAGTATCAAACCACAAGTGGCACGTTGTTTTAATGTACTCCAAGAGTACCAATATGAACTGGAGTATTGAAAAGGTGAGAGAATGGCAAGTGCAAGAGCAAAGTGTGGTTGATTTGCAACAGAAAGCAGTGACTGACATTTTGGGTGGGCAAAACAGGTACAAAAAACAAGTCGGCAAAAGGAGATACATAGGACACACTTATGATGTTAGAGAAATTGTAGTGGTGAAAGCTCCAGTCCTAGCAACAGGACACAGTACAAAACTAAATAAATATAAAGGCCCATATGTTATTTTGGAATGTTTACCAGAAAATACCTATAGAATACAGAAACTAGAGTATGGAGATGATGAACAAAGGCAGATTACTACAGCACATGTATCTCAGATGAAGGGGTACTACAACGCTTACGAAAGTTATCAAGAAAATGATGCCATAGATGACGAAGAGAGAATAGCAGATGAAAAAGACGAATT